TTCGAGGAACCAAGAGCAATTAGGAAATTTCTTCGTTAAATAACTACCAAATAGCGAAGTGAATTTCCATTGCGCTACTCTGGGATCTGTAATGGGGAAAAAATTAGCCTTCATATATACAGTAGGACTACTATTTAACGAACTTCCATTTTGCAAACTGCTCTATTTTGAGATTTTTTCGAGGAACCAAGAGCAATTAGGAAATTTCTTCGTTAAATAACTACCAAATAGCGAAGTGAATTTCCATTGCGCTACTCTGGGATCTGTAATGGGGAAAAAATTAGCCTTCATATATACAGTAGGACTACTATTTAACGAACTTCCATTTTGCAAACTGCTCTATTTTGAGATTTTTTCGAGGAACCAAGAGCAATTAGGAAATTTCTTCGTTAAATAACTACCAAATAGCGAAGAGAATTTCCATTGCGCTACTCTGGGATCTGTAATGGGGAAAAAATTAGCCTTCATATATACAGTAGGACTACTATTTAACGAACTTCCATTTTGCAAACTGCTCTATTTTGAGATTTTTTCGAGGAACCAAGAGCAATTAGGAAATTTCTTCGTTATATAACTACCAAATAGCGAAGTGAATTTCCTATTTAACGAACTTTTCTTTGAAATCCGCTTTCCCTATTTCCCAAAATATTTCCAAACATTTCGAACTTGTTTACGCATTTTATGGCGGAAATAACCTCGAATTGATTTTTCGGAGCTACCTAACTTTTAGAGAAAACAGTCAAATCTCTTTCCCTTTTTGTTTGCGTCTCAAACGAGAAACTCAAACAAAATTAACAGATCTTATCAGTAACAATTAAACTTAAGAACGCATGAGGTAATGCATGTTTAAAATTACTAGACTACGATCATGATAGTATAACACTGGGTAATGTTTCACTCTATTTTTATATTCCATGTAAATTTCTTCCATGGTTAAGATTTATAAAATAAATAGTAGATACTAGTTCACAAGACAATTGCTATTTTAATTATGCCCAGTGTTCATGAATTTAAAACCTGTTTTGTATTGTTCAAGTATTTCAAAAGGTGATTTTCTATTTAACGAATTTTCCATATAACGAACTTATTATCAGGATTTAGGGACTTCGTTACATAGAGGTCAGACTGTATGTATAAAAAAATACCATATAAATCCAGTTATGCTTAAAAATCTAAAAGATAATCAACTGAAAACAGACGAAAATATTTTTACTCTGAAATAATATTTTTGAGATTATGTTTCGATCAAATTAATTAGCAATAATTCGAAATGCTGAATGTCCAAAATTGACCTACTTTTTATTAAAAAAAAAAAAAAAATTTTAAGGGAGTTAACTGCATTTAAAAATACCGTTTCTTTTAAATATCTAATAATAATAAATAATTAATAAATTTTCTTATCACTTTAAGAATATTACTTGTACACCTCTAAAACTCAAAAATTTAATTTCTTTCATATGGAATACGATTCGCCCATCTCTAGAATATCTAGCCTATGTATTTAAACTATAATTTGTTAAATTTTCCCAGCTCTACAATATCCAGATTACATGCCTAACATATTATTTGCCCACATCTAGAGTCTCTAGAATGCATTTTTCTCGTCCTCTACAAAGAAATTTATCCACATCTAGAATCTCTAGATATCATAATAAATAGTGAAAGTGAAATGTACATAATAGAAAATGTATTAGTTAAGTTTATCTCTAGAATGCAAAATGTATTAATTGCTTGAGGTAAGCAATTAATACAAAATGTATTACTTTTGTTTACCTCTAGAATACATAATGTATTAATTGCTAGAGGTAAACAATTAATACAAAATATATTACTTTTGCTTATCTCTAGAATACAAAATGTATTAATTGCTAGAGGTAAGCAATTAATACAAAATGTATTACCTTTGTTCATCTCCAGAATAAAAAATTTATTAATTGCTACAGGTAAGCAATTAATACAAAATGTATTACTTTTGTTTATCTCAAGAATACAAAATGTAGTAATTGCTAGAGGTAAGCAATTAATACAAAACTTATTAATTGCTTACCTCTAGTATGTCTAAAGCATAATTTGTCTACCAATAAAATCTCTACAATACATCTTTAAAGTACAGTGTGCCAAAAAAAAAAAAAAAAAACGGACCACCATGAATAACTTTTGATCTAATGATCGGATCTTCACGTTCTAGGACTCAAACTTATTGGTTCGAGAGGGTGACCTCAAATGTGGAAATTAATTAGTGCAGACGATATTTTAAGTTACGAAGTCAGACACAAAAACGTACTTTCTCTGAATAAACATACCTTTTTTCAATATTCGAATTTCCGAACTCAAAATATAGGGAGAAGCCGAAATCTGGGAAATATAGCCCCCATAGTTTGGTCAGAAGAACAATCCAAAGTTTGGACCCCATAATACTAAATATACTTTTTGCTTATTTTGCCATATCTCAAGAACTCTTAAAGCATATTCAATTTTTTTTCCACGCGATTATAAAATTCGTTTATCTAAAGATGATTCCAAATGAAAAATAAATTTTGGTATATATTTATTATTTTTTATTATTTTATTTTGCAATAGTAGAAAAATTTTCAATTGCAAGTTATATAATTTTTTAAAGGCCGGGATAGCCTCGTTGGTAGAGCGTTGGGTCCATGCCTAAGGAGTCGTGAGTTTGATTCCCGCTTTGAAATTGGTAACTGGTGCACGTTAAATCTGTCGGGTCACAAAATCCTCTGTGTCTCCATAACAAATCAGCACCTTTGGGGGTACTGAATTAGAGATTAATCGTTTTTCAAAATACGCCTATTTAAAAAAATCGATTTCTCAGAAACTTTTCAACCTATTTCGCTCAAATTTTATATTTTGAAATGTAAAATTACATACTTTAAAATGATGTAAAAAATTGTATTCCTCACATCTCAAATTTATTTCGAGTATTATTAAATAAAATAATAAAAAAAATAATTACTATTTACAAAAATTTATTTTTTGCATGCATTTTAAGATGAACGAATTTTATAATTGTGAGCGAAAATATGGTCGCGAATTGCAAAATATGCAAAAAGTAAAATTAGCATTATGGGGTCCAAACTTTGGATCGTTCTCCTGACCAAACTATGGGGACCGTATTTCCCAGATTGCGTCTACCCCCTATATTTTGGAGGGTCAGAAATACGAATCCGTCGAAAAAAATATGTTAATTCAGAGAAAGAAGGTTTCCACGTCGGATTACGTTACTTAAAATATCGTCTGCACCAGTTACTTATCACATTTAAGGTCACTCCCTCTAACCATTAAGTTTAAGTCTTAGTACGTGAAAATTCGATTATTACGATCAAAAAATATTCAAGGTGGCCCATTTTTTGTTCTTTTTTTGCGCATTGTGCTCTTTAAATCTCTTCAGTAAATCTCTAGAATAAAAAAATTTGGTATGTTAAAAGATTTACCTGGCTTGCTAAGGAAATTATAAATTTCTACTTGGAAATGATCCAAACCCATGACTTACATTAAGTTCTGAAATTATAAGAAATATTACTAATCAATAATAAATAGTTAAGAGGAATAAAGCACAATATAGATTCATGTTTAAAATGCAGCAAAGAGAACATTTATTCTAATTGTCAAATTAATGTCGATTTTAAAAGTTATAAGAATTTTAAGAAGTTATACAACATTTTAAAGAAGTTATATACATTTTAGGAAGTTATACAACTTCCAGATTCAAAAACTTTTAATACTTAATGTTTAAAATTGAATAATTAGTTCAGGAGCAACCTCATATTTTTCTTAATATTGGTATTATTAATTTTACATAATTAAATACTATTTACAGAACACACGATACTCAAAATAACTTCGGATCTAATGATTGAACTTTCACTTCACTGCGATGCAATTGTCATGTTTTGGGGGGTTGAACTAATTAGGGTGGTTATTAATTAGAGTGGACGATATTTTAAGAATAGAATTCGGACGCAAATACTTCCTCCTATAAAAAAATAAATAAATAAAAAATAAATAAATAAAAAAACTTTTCTTAACAAAAATTTCTTCCAATACTTGATCCTGGAGTTCTTGTCTGCTAGACTGGATTCAAAATTACAGGGCTACGGAGTAGAACATTAGTAGTCGTAAACTCGAAATTGGGTCGGCTGTTATAAAATAAACTAATAATTTGGCCGTGACAGCTTGGTTGGTAGGGCTATGAACTCGTGTTCGTGAGAATGGGAGTTCGAATTCAGTCGGCCGAATAATACCATGAATAAAATGGCGACTGGTGCATGTTAAATCTGTCGGGATCACAAATTCCACCAAGTTCTCATAGCAATTCAATACCTCTGGGTACTGACCCAGGAGTTCCCTTGTCTTCTGGATTGGTTTTAAAATTACAAGACTACGTAGTTAAACATTGGTAGTCGTAAACTCGAAATTGAATCAGTTTTTCAACGGTGATTATAAAAAAAATAATAAAAATAAAACTAATAATCAAATTGTATTTTCTTGTATTCTTTCTAACTCCTTGCATATTTTATACACACCTTCATAATTTCATGCTTCTCAGCTTTATAGATTTTGAGCTGCAAAGCGAAACGCAACGTAAAGAAAAAAAATTGAGAAAAAAGCTCATAAAAAATAACAAATACATATATTCAAAATTTATATACATACATTAAAAAAAATTCAAGCATTTCAAGCATTATTAGGCCCAGAAGAATAACTTAGGACAATTAGGCATAAATGGCATAGATAAAATAGTAAAAAACAATAATCTCTAAGATACATTTCCGAACATTGATATTTCATTTCGAATTTTTCTGTCACTCATGATAACTAATTTTAGTAGCGAACGTTCATTCTCCAGACTAAAATTAATTAAAAATGAGTTAAGAAATAGTATGACTCAAGAAAGTTTCAGTCATTTGTCAATTATGAGCATTCAATATGATGTCTATTACAGGAAATTGATTTTGATGATGTGATAGAAGACTTCGCCTCTCAAAAAGCGCGAAAAGTATTGTTACCTTAAGTTTTCGATAAAAAATAATGTATATAATCTCTTATAATTAATTTATATGTTTTTACTCTTAAAATTTAATAATTTTTAAAAATTATGCAAAATTTTTTTCTCTAAATTTACTCACAAAGGGCCCTCAAATAATGACAGGCCCGGGGCCCCTGTGAACATAAAAACGGCTCTGCATGTAACTATTAAAAAACTACAGTGCGTCTAATAAATTCGACAAGGACTGTAAGTTATGATGTCCGATTTCGTAACTTAAAATATCGTCAGCACAAATTAGCATATTTAAGACGCATACCCCGGACGATGAAGATTGCGTCTTATTACGGGAAAAATCCAGTTATTAAATTAAAAGTAGATACATTCATAGTATGCATTCGCTAACATGTTTTCAAGGTATATTACACACGTTCTTGAACACCAAATGCACATGTATAAATGCGAAATTAACTAATACGAAAATTATTAGAATCGTCAAACATTAGAAATAAAAATACTCCTGAACAAAAATATTACTTTCATAAAAAAAACAACTCTTTTTAAAGTTATTTAAAACGTTAATAAGGGAAAAAAAGCAGCTGCGCTGGCGCTTAAATTATTTTAGTTGCGTTATATAGCTCCCAATGGATGAAAGATAAGCGTAAAAGATAACACCCATATTTCCAGTCAAGAGACATCTTTAAAATTTCGGTAACTTAAACACTCCATTTGGTATCATAAACAAACGATCGTGAGTAATATATGAATTTACTGATCCCTTCTGTAAAGAAAACTTGGGAAAGGTTCCAAAGAAAAGAAAAAAAGGAAAGCAACAATATTTCGACTAAATCCTCAAACAGTGTTCGTCCCCTCTCTTTATATCAGACGATTTTTTTTTCCTATCCTTGTTAAATATGCTAAATAAACGAAGAAAGTTCTCGAACTATTTAACTGCTGGAGAAGAATACATTTATAATGATTCTTTTATTTCTAAGGTATGAATTTATTTATTTATTTTATAAAATGTATGTATTTAGCTTTTCTGCAATGATTTGATATGATTTATCTATAAAATATAAAACGATAATTGTGTGAAACCGATTCTGGTTGTTGTTGGTGCATTCTTATGGGATAGAAAAAATTATATGATGAGATTCTTAATCAGCAATAAAGATTCGAAACTCTAAGGTTGTCATACGTGTAAAATTAGTAAAACTTATAAGGGTAAAAATATATGTTAGGATTCTTAATTACTAGATCCGAAAGTCTTCGGTTGTCAATTGACGTAAAATTAATAAAAGTTATAACGGTATTTGCTTGTTAAATTACTTATTTCGTCTTTTATTTAACGGTATTCTTGTTTTCTTCGATTTTGACAAATATATATTTTATTCATTACCTGCTCAAGTTTAAATTTAATATACCATTTATTATATTTTTTCAGCTATTTTTGTTACATATTTACTAAAAAGAAAAGTAACAACGGGGACAATTTCATTCATAATTGGGTACTTTCACTTTAAGAAGAAGATCACGAATACCCACACATGTGAACTATGACGTCAGCGCCCCAGCTGATCACTTATGAGCAAAATGGCGTGTTAAAGTTGAGTTTAGTTTCTCCACATAAGTTAGAATGTTAATTAAACGCAATGCTGTATCGCACATCAAAATTTTTTTTAAATTTAATTCTTACTCGTCTGCGTCTTTTACTTCATGGATTAGAGTCCCTTTGCCGTTAGGCTAACAGTGGGAGGTTTTTTGTGGTGTTCCTCTCCGTGTAACGCAAATTCTGGTTATTTCCATTAAAAAGTCCTCCACGAAGGCAAATTTCTCCCAATACTTGCACAGGAGTTTCCTTATCTTCTGGATTGGGTTCAAATTACAAGGCTACGGAATTGAACATTAGTAGTCGTAAACACAAAAATTGGGTCGGCTGTTCAACGACGGTTATAATATAAAATAAAATTGCTATGACAGTATGCGGCACCATCTATGGTTAAAATTTCTACAGCCATATGAGAAAGGATCAAGAATAAATCGAAATAACTATTCCGAAACTAATTGTTTATTTCTATAAAAATTAAAAATTATTTTAAATAAATTCTTAACGTATAACTAACTTTTCTACACTAATTAAACTATCACTTAAGTTTACCTAACAAAATGAATCTGAAAAAATAATTAACGCATAGCTAATTTAACGCTACTTAAACTATCATATAAGACTTCTTAAAAAGTGAATCTAATTTAATACTTTAAGTATAAGTAGTTATTTAACACTATTTAAATTAATCCGGTAGAAAATTCAGGTCATGTAAACTAAATTGCTTAAATCCACATCTCAACTATCAAGTAATTGCATATAAATATAAGATAATTTCCCAAAGTACTTTTTTTTCTTATCTTCATTCGATATTTTAAAATATGAAAAACACATTTTTTTGTAAAAATACAACAAAAAAATTAAATTTAGGGTAACTGAGTATCCCAAGTCTATACAAACAAACCCGGGACGTCAAAAAAATGAAGAAATAGTCATGTTAATCCTATGACATCAGAAGAGGACCTCAAAACTTCCGGTAGCGTATGTTTGTTTTCTTAGGATAGATGGTGAAAAACTAATTATTCAACACAATTTAAATTATTACTTAAGACAATCTGACAGAATAAATTATTATAGATGACGATAGTGTTGCCATTTTAGAAAAAGAAATACCCACGTTTTTTGTGCCACGTGAGAGAAATAAATATATAGATTACCTTATGACGCAACATTTTAAAACAAATTTACTGAATGAACGATTTACAATTATTAAACGGTAAATAAGTTACATAATTTTTGTGATATATTTTATACAAAACTGTTTGCAGTCAACGTGCACAATTAAAATAATTATTGCAAACTAAATAATTAAAATTAAAAAGAGATACTAGGTTTTGACTTTTCATTAAATATTCTTTTGCGCGAAAGACTCTCAGAACTTGTTTTAATAGTAAACAAAATTAAATATGAATATTAAAATCAAGTTTGTCAAAGAAGTTGCAATGGAAATCGAGCAAAATGAGTAGGATTAAAATTTTTCCAAATAGAATCCCTAATTAAGTTCTGAGGCACCTAATGTGTGTTAATAAAATATTTTGGAATATTTCAATTGGATAATTTTTCATTTTGATTTATAAATCAGCTTAACGTCAAGAAACAAAAACGATTGTAGAACAATCGCGGGGCTGTGAACATTAGGGCGAAATCTCTTGGTTTAACCTTATTCTTTAGTGAGCATATTTTTACAACTTATTTAGTTAGAAAGTATTCCGTAATAACCGCTTATAAAGTCTTGCATCGAGCCGCGATGGCTTAGGGGATAGAGCATTCGCCTTCCAATGGGTGAACCGGATGGCTGGGATACGAATTTCGCACCCGGCTTGCACCGACCGCAGTGCTGACGTGAAATATTCTCTGTGGTAGACGGATCATGGGTTAGAGTCCCCTTGCCGTCAGGCTCACCATGGGAGGTTCTCGTGGTTTTCCTCTCCATGTAACGCAAATGCGGGTTAGTTCCATCAAAAAGTCCTCCACGAAGGCAAATTTCTCCCAATACTTGATCCTGTCTTCTGGATTAAGTTCTAAATTACAAGGCTACGGAGTTGAACATTAACAGTCGTAAACCCGAAATTGAGTTCAACGAAGGTTATAAAAATAAAAAAAAAAATTTAAAAAAAAAGTCTTGTGAGCTGTACAATACAGTAGGCCTGTTTTGAAATCAAAATTATCAAATTACAGATCTTATTTCGCCAAACATGATATGAATATAATAAACAACGTAAGTTCTGCTCTCTATAAAGTTCATATTTTAACCCAATAAAAACGAAAACTAAATCTGCAGTTCTAAATAATCTAGTACTACAATGAAAATATTTTGGTTTATTTTATTTGGATGATTTTTAGTTTCGGCGTAAAAATTCTGTTTTAAGTATCAAAAATGATTGCAAAATAGTGGTAAGGGTTAATTTTGCAAAGCGGGTAGGGCGCAGAGAGAGAATAAGAAAAATGTCCGTAATGGAAAAAAAAAGGAAGTATTACAATATTATAGTTTTTCAACTCATGGGATTTTTTTTCTTTTTGTGTTACCCTTGAATAAACAGTTAATAATCATTGAAGGTAACTCTTAAAAAATGTATATTAAACATTCAATCGTAAAGAATACCACAAATTAAGAAGTAAAAATTTAACACTACATTGCCCAATGAAGTCATTTTGACTGCTTTTTAATTTCAATTAGAAAAACAATGATGAGACAATTTCTTAGACTTTTGTGACTTTTTGTACAACAGATAATTTTTTTAATTGTTAATATTTACTAATAACTTGTTATATAACAAAAAATAATATCAAAAATATTAAAAATTAATTTTAAACAAATTTCTTTATACATTAGTTATTCTTTCAAAATGCAGTCATTTTGACTACTTTTGGGCAATATAGATATTTCAGTCTTTCTAGTGTTAAAAAAGATTTCCTCATATACTTTGTTTGGGTACTTGCACTTCAAGAAGAAGATCGCGGATACTCACACATGTGACCTATTACGTCAGCGCCAGCTGATCGCTTATAAGCAAAACGGTGTGTTAAAGTTGAGCTAAGTTTCTATTTATAAGTTAGAATGTTAATTAAACACAGCGGCCGTATTATACATCAAATTTCTTGAAATATAATTCTCTCTCCTCTACTTATTTTACTTAAATTAGATTTATTATCTATTAATGCATTTTATTGTAACCAATTCGATGCATACTTAGTTTTTTTTATGTTTTACATGTGTTAAGAACGAAATATATAGTCAAATGATTGAAATCTTTGTGAAAGAATCTTCGTGAAAAAATATAGAACATGTCATTTTAAGAGAATTGATACTTGAAGGAGTTGGCTTACTCGAAATAAAATGGAAAAAACAGTTGCTAATGTAAACAAGTACCACGTTTCCAATCAGGATCAAGATACCAACACTATGTCACTTGCAGGTATCCCATTAAGAATCCTAAGAATTTTTTTCACCCGATTGAACTCATCGACGACTCCAAAAAACGATTTACGAGAAATGGAAAAGACTATCATATTTTAACGCTTCTAATGATACTTAATATAGATATTGATAGACTTTATATAGATAGTGTTTTTTTTAGCATCATGCACTGCAAAACATTCCGGATTAAATTACAGTATAAATTTCCGACACATTGGCTGCATCATCCATTTTAACGTGAAATCAATTTTTACCGAAAAATCCATTATTATTGTAAAATATTATACGCAATTTTTAGAGTAATATTTATATTATTTGAGTGATTCAGTGATTTCAAGATAAATATTACTGTAAAAATTACGGTTTATCGGATTTTTTTGTTCCGCAACATGTTTCGATAAAAATGAATTTTGCGAAAAAAAGTAGCTGTACTTTGAGTACCAGTACCAATTGTAATTTGATTAGGAATTTTTTACAGTGCGATGAAAATTCTAAAAACGTTATAAAATAATGAAAGAATTACAAGTGCATAATTATGAGGTTTTAATGAAATTTTAGCAGTAATAAAAATACTTCTACTCATAGATTGCACACGGTGAAGATTTTAATGAAGAATGCCTCAAAAGTCATAATCATTACAGAGCTCAGCATGGCTGTTCACCTTTACATCTTTCATCCCAGGTAAGTCTTATATAGAAGTTTGAATTCTAGAATAATTATAGATAAATTCTGATTAATTAGTAGGCTCCCTCTCAGACGCTCCTCAACTTACGACGGTTTGCTTTGCAAATCTTCGATGGCCTGCTTTAAGTAATACCCATTTGAAATGTGTTCTAGTGTGTAATCTGAAGAATTCGAATCTTTTATTTAAAGCTAATTCCTCTTTAAAAAACTAAAATTTCTGGTCAATAATCAGTTATTGAAATAATTAATATTTTAAATTGAAATAGAGGATAAGCAATAGAAAAAAAATGCTTTTAAGAAACAATTATTATTTATTGAAAACACAATTATGAATTTCAAAATTTAGAGCTATCATTGTAAAGCTGTCAAATAACCTAACTGTTAGGATGTTACATTGAAATAAATGAGAAAAACAATGCAGACACTAAACATTCATTATGTTTTTAAAAATCAAAACAGCTGGATTAATACTCATTTTTAAATGAATAACAATAACCTTGAATAAAATGAAACTGCTTAAGTATAAGTAAGACATAATGTAGAACACTATCTTTGTTGACATGAGCTATTCGATTCCAAACTTGTATTTCTTTTTGTTTTAACTTTTCTATGTTCATGAGCGAAAAAAGTAATTTTAATTCAAATTTTTTTTTATATTTACGTTTACGTTTTCATTACAGTTCACAAGATTGATATTTCAATTCTTTGTTATCAACACGAAAAAGAAATAAGGGCTTTCTTTGTATGCAGTGACACTATAGCTACTGCTGTTGGCGCACTCGGTTCTTTGATTTGAGATGGCGCGCATCAAGAGGCGTTGCTTAAAAATTTATGTATCTTTAACTAAAAACGTTTTCGATGTTTCAAATTCTTAAAACATGGTTAGATAAACCGATAACATAAGAAAAAAAATTTAAACCTTATTTTAATTTCATGAAGCACATAGTTGGACCTTGGCTACTGCTGTTGGTCCAACTGATTCTTGATATGATATGGAAGTATCTACAATAACCTTGCCTTGCCATGTTGCACGAATAACAGTCAAGGTATCATAGATGATACTTTGACTGTTGTTCGTACAACCTGGTCCTGATATGATATGGGAGCATCTGTCTAAAAAATTATATGATGCCTAACTACATTTATTCTTCAAATAAGAGTACAAGAAAGAAAATTAAATCGTATTTTAATTACAAGAGCCAGATCATGGCGCCTTGGCGACTGTTGTTGGTCCAATTGATTCTTGATATGATATGGGAGTATCTACAATAACTTTGCCTAAATGTTTATAAAAATGTCAAAAAGCATAAGTTCTTAAAACATCGCCAAATAGACAGAGAATATCAAAAAATCTTAACGAAAAAGCGAATAAAATTATATATTCCTTCGTTATAAAATGTTCTAATAATAGACAGTAAAAACAGTTTAAGATAAAAATAAATGTTTATGAGTAAATTTTATCTTACCGTAATGACTGTATCGCATTCGAAAATACACTCCGCGAATAAATATCGAAGTGCTTTGAGTTAAGAAAAAGAAAACATTTTATCTTCAAAAGTGATAGCCTATCTGAAAAAAAAAAAAGAATTAGTTGTATAACATAGATTGATAACATCTACTGACGAAACATTTTACTCACGAAAATACTACTTACGATCAATGTTTTCTTTCTTTTCTTTTTTTTAAAAATAATTTTCAAAATATCGAATTATTTAATTACTAAGTTTTTATCAATTCGCTTTCGTCTTTGTAGATTTCGTAGATTTTTTTCAACCCCATTCCTAGTTGGGAAAAAAATGCTCAAAAACAGTCAAAATGATCGATTTTAGAGTAATTTTATTCGATTCTTGATCGAGAGAAGCAGAATTTATTGTTACTTTATTACCAAATGGAATTTATCATAAATCATAACTTCGACTAATTTAAGATTAACTGGAGCACTTAAATTTTAACTAAAGCTCTATGTTGAATGGGATTAAAAATTTCAACTGTTTTCTGATCACTGAAAATTGAATTTCTCATCAAAATATCACCAATTAGAATTATCGACAGCCGAATTCCGACCAGCTAAGGAGCTCAAATTATAAGTGATCATTTATACTTGATGAGAATATAAGTTGATATCGCCTTCACTTTCGGACTAGCTAGATTATGTCTATTTATGCTGGAGCTTTGTGGCTATACACCGTTTAAAGAGAAAGTTTCTGTTTAAAAAACTCAATTTTTTTTATCGTTTTCTAAAAATTATTTTTTCATAGCTTACAATTGGTATACTGTATCGGTATACAGTATACCATAGCTAGCAATTGGTATACTGTATTACATACATCAAGAAATACATATTTTCATCTAACAAAAGCACACGCTTATTAGAACAAATACAAAATGCATGTGTGAAATCTCAATGAATGATAATATTCACCCATCGAAGAATTTTGATCCACCAGTAACATCACTCCTTTTTAACTTATATAATTAAATATAAGGGGTGTCCAAAAATTTATGCAAGATTTTAATCAAATAGAGAACACACGTCTTGAATAGCACACCGGGCAAATGACCACCACAACTTTGCTCGCACATCGAAATTTCCCACTGAAATTTTGCATAAATGTGACTAAATTTCGCTGACGCAATGTTTAATCTTCCCTTTCAATGTACTAGAAAACGTGGGCTTGTTGACATAGACCATTCATTTTGAATAATTCCATAGAAAAAAATCCAATGGTGTCAAATCTGGTGATCTAGAGGGCCAATTCTGGTCAACGAAACGAGACAGTGAATACACGACCAGGAAATACTTCATGCAGTAACTGGATTATTTCAAGGGCTATATGGCACCATTTTATTGAAATCACATGTTGTCCAATACACATGTTGAAACATTATTGAACGGCCAGTGTATTTAGCGTCCACAATTAATCGTTTGCTTGAATTTTTCATTAACTCTCTTCACAATTAACAAGTGAAATCAATATTCCGATAATATTTTGTACGAAATTTTGTGAGCCAAACTTTCATTATTTTGAAAATATTGCTCAACAGTGAACTTTGTTCCTTCGCGTGTTGAATTTTTACTAACCCTAAATCGATAGCGTTCTATAAGTTCTATTCGTTTCTCTTCTTGCCAATACTAAATTAATTTTAAATTTGATTCAATTCTTGCGTAAATTTTTGTACACCCTTTTATTAATTGTAATGAATAATTATACACTTGTATTGCTGTACATTTGCTGCTCCATAAGTTTTTCATCATTTAAAATACTGCTCATTTGCAATGTTCATACTGGACGTCCTAAGAATGACCAATTATTTTAACACTTTACCGACCGGCCGTCGATTAATCGACGTTTTGTTCTCATCGTATACCGACCGGCCGTAGATTATTCAGCGTTTGCTCCCCAGCGCTTACCGACCGGTCGTCGATTAATCGACTTTTGACCGATCTGTGGTGACTACGTTTTCCACCAATTCAGCATGCCCTGAAAAAAATTCAGCTGTCGTTTTCTCGAGTGCAGCTGGGTGCGACCAGATTTTCCTGCGAAAAGAGTCGGGATTTTTCATCGTGCAGCTGGGTGCGACTAGATTTTCCTGCGAGGAAAGTCGGGATTTTTTCATCGATATGAAGGCAGGGATGCCAACTGCTCCGCTTTCTGGAAAAGTTCTAATAAAGTGGTAGCAAAATATTTTGTAAGATTAGTTAAAGAAAGATAGTTACGCCTACTTTTTAATACAGTAACCAGTATATTGATGATTTAACGTTGCATTTTATATCATATTTGTAATTTTTGATATTTAGTGGTGAAGTCCGCGCGTCAGTCTAGGCCGAAACCGAGCCGGTGTCTCGGACGATCTGCAGCTGAGCGGACGGTGAAAGGGCATAGTATGTTCGAACCGCTACCGGTCGGTAAAGTGTTAAATGAAAACTTTAGAGGGTAATGGTTGGCTCAATTTCTTTAAAAGAATTAGGTATTTTATACTCGCTAAGTTATGAAGTTTTTTTAAAAAAATCGTCAACAAATTACGTTGCCATCTAGAATAAACTAAAAAAATATGTATTAAAAATATATAATGTTTTTATACTTGGCATGTTCTTTTTTAACTCTTAAAGCAGCGCCATCTGTTGAGGAGCTTTAATGACTAATTTTCAACTTTGACGGAAAAAATTCGTCGCTCTTTTTCTGAAAAGAACGCAGCAAACCTAAAACTTTTCTCTCCTTCCTTGTTCTTAAAAAAAATGTAAAAAATATTTCATCCACAAAGTATATTATCAGTTATTTGAAAAAGTTACTTCAAAAAAATATATCATCAGTTATTTTTTGTGTGCCGATACTTTGTTATATTAGTAATAATGTAATATTTTTTTCAACCTAGATTTCTTCATTTTCACAAGAATGGGCGTGCAAAATAGCTGCAGAAGATCATTTTCATCACAGTCATCACCCACAATATGGAGAAAACTTGTTTGTTGCCTATTTGAGCAATTACAGCATACCAGAGATAAAAGGTATTATTATCCATTTTCGTTTTCAGGATGTTCCATAGTCACCACCCTTATTTTATATGAAAGATTTAGTGAGAGACACGTTTTTTTTTTTTTTATAGTTATAAAAAAGTTTTTATAAAATCTGCATTTTGTTCTTAGGGAATGAAGTCGTGGAATCTTGGTATTCTGAACACATATTTTACCCTTATGATTCACACATTACCAGAGAAATTATATCTAAAGCAGGTAAGCATATAATTAAAAAAATATATTTGTGATTTTTAACCGGAATTACACTAAGTAAAGAAATAATAAATTAAAATTTTAGTTGCTAAACATATCATATAGTTCGTTCACCAGGAGTTGGCACTTGGTTCCCCCTCGGACGAAGAGTTCATTCCAGCGCGGGAGTACGAGGAGAAACGTCTCTGCGCTTGGAATTGAGACAATCCTTAATGCGCCCCAAACGCAAACAGTGAATTCTTTTTCAGTCACTTACTTCGCTTTATCATCTGCTGGTATACCTTTCGTTGCTCTAGCTAATTAAATATATTGCAGCAAAAAAGGGCAAACTATTCACTCAAAAGAGAGAAATATCCTCAAATTCATGAAATATTTAATGTTAAAAAAATGTACATAGAGATAACGAAATAAATATTTTTGTCATACGATCACCAAAAAGCAACCTTGTTCAGGATTGTTCACATCCTTCCTCTAAAAATAGCGAAATAATATCGTCGGATACCACGTGATGAAGGCGGAGCCAAGAGCCAACTCGTGGTGAACGAACTATAGAATAGCACAAAAATGCTATAAACCGGAGCACATGCGGGAATCTCGTTGAACATTCTCCTACTGTTAAACATCTCCAACACCTAACTCAAGGTCAATGAAGCGAACATAAACTTGAATTTCGTCCAATACATCCACTTGTTCATTAAAAAGATTTGGTTTTAAATACGTTTATCCTTGTTAACTATACCATGGTTAGTGGTCAACTGAGGATATCAATGAGATACTAAATCCGGAACAGAATCTTCAAAACTTACGGTGTATTCTTACGTTTACGTTATGTTAGGAGATGATTATTGAACAAACTTCATATTTTTAGAAGTTTTTATATAATTCGCAATTTTTTATATATAATTCATAATTTCTTTTTCCATATTTTATACGTATATTAAAGGGTAGTAAGCCATAAATCAATTTAAGGAATTTTATCTCGGTTTTTATGTTCTCAGCTCTTAAATGATTTTACATGTTGAATGAAAAAAATACCCCAAGTTATATTCCATGTAGCAGAAACACCCCGTTTGTCCGAGGAAACAGAGAAGAAGCTAAAAGGCGATTATCAAATAGTATTCAAGTAAATTTGAACCAAATTTCAATAATAGTAGTTTGAAATGACTGGAAAGGCATAAACGCCTTATTTGAATTGTTTCCGGACGGAAGACGTTTTCGCGCCCCGGGCGATACTGAAAACGGCGCCATTAACTTAATCTTGGAAAATAAATCTTAATTTTAAAGGAAGAAGAAAAGAAAATTTTTTTTTTTTTGTAAATTGTTTCACTGACGTAGTCTTAACGCTGTGGAAAATTGCTTTTGGCATTTTTAAATACAATATTTCGCCCGGAAAATTATTAAATATATATGTGCTGAATTAAGAAACATATAAACAAAACAAATAACAATTAGAAACAGAAATTCGCAATATTTTATGCCCGAAGCCTTTTTTCACCATTGTTAGAAGATCGTTTGCCAGCCCAAGTCTAAACTCCAAAAACTCAACCATACATTTATTTAGTTTTAAATTATTTTCCAAATTTTTTCTAAAATTAAAAGAGAAATGTTATTACAGGGTGCGTAGCCAAATTATTCAACAAAAAATAAGCACCTTTCAAGCACACTAATAATATTTTTAAGCACTTTAAGGAAATATCATAATTAGGCAGGGTTGAAAAGGTTTTATCTGGTTTTAACCGTTATGTCAACAAAAAAAAAACCTTTTGGCATTGTTTTTGACAATTGTCAAAATATTTTAATCATGTAAATCGAATGGCGTTTTCATATGCTACGGACTGACGATGTGCCGAAATAGATTGGGGTTGAATTAATTGTGAAAACGTTGAACAGAACAATGTGAACAGTGTCTTTCTGCATAATTCGTAGCGAAAATTAACAGGGTAAAGGAAAAATCTCATTTTTGAAAAGGGAAAATTAAGTACTTTTTAAAAACACCCAATGAAAAAAGTACCTTCAAGGGCTTTTAAAAAACGATAATCGAAAATAAGCACCTTTAAGCACTTTTTAAAAACGCTACGCACCCTGTATTAAAACGTGAATAAAAGTAGCTGTTTGCTTACATTATGATGAAACTGAATATTTAGCGTCCTGAGTAAAAAGAAAAAAAACGTAATTCACTTAATAGAAAAAAGCTCAATTGACATACCTGCACTGGAAAGAAAGCATTAGTTAAAATAGTCTGAAGTAAACAATAAAGAAAATGACAGTTTTTAAATTGAGGATGAGATTTATTTTGATATTCTAAAATAATTGTTTTTCAATTTTATAAAGTAAATTTATTAATTTAAAAACAACTTATAAAGAATATTCAGCCTCTATGCAAATAAATATAATCTCTATATTAACCAGAAGCGTGCCCCCTGTCCCACTATATAACTTACATAAATGAGAAAAATTCGGCACATTTTGACCAGCATTGCAAAATGTCCATTTAATAAGCTTTTGCAAATTTTAAGTGCTGTGTTTTTAAACAACGTTTTTCAAACTCTATAATTTAATAAATTTTCATGCGTTTTGGTTAAATTTAATAGCACTTTTGCACTCAACATAGTTTCCGCTGCACATGGGGTGTTTTAAATACTGTTTATAACTATACATACTTTAAATATTATTTTAAATGTACTTTTCATTCACCTTTTGACCACACCATGTCACCATTTTGTTAAAAATTATTTTCCTATAAAAAAATGAAAACTTTTTGTCGTTGACTACCTTAACGCAATTTATAGGTTAAAATTTTTATGCATTTATCAATTTATTCACTCATTTGACAACTCACTAAAATACCCTTTAATGACTAGCCCATAAAAAAATTCACTGCTATTTATTTTATTTTATAACCGTTCGTTGAACAGCCGACCCAATTTTGGGTTTACGACTACTACTGTTCAACTCCGTAGCCTTGTAATTTTGATACCTATCCAGAAGACAAGCGAACTCCTGGATCAAGCATTAGGAGAAGTTTGCCTTCGTGGAGACCTTTTTAGTGGAATTAACCTACATTTGCGTTACATGAAGAGGAAAACCAAAGAAAACCTCCCTGGCGGCAAGGGGACTCTAACCCATGATCCGCCTACCACTGAGGATAGTTTACGTCAGCACTGTGGTTGGTGCATGTCGGATGCGGAATTCGCATCGACCAGCCGATGTTGTGATTCGAATCCGGCTCACCTCATTGGAAGGCGAGCGCTCTATACCCTGAGCCAATCACGGCTCACTGCTATTTATTGCTGACTCGTTGTTTATACGCCTATTTTCAGATCCATTGATTGGATTTCTTTCATTCCTCATTCTCACTTTGTTCACTCGCTATTCTCTATCTAAAATTATTCATATTAACAGTTTTCACGAAGAGAACTTGCAATAAAATATTAATGAAGTATGCTATTTAAAAAATAGTTTAAAATAAACTAAAAATGATCTGAATAAAATATATCAAAAAAAGAAAGAAAGGGTATAATTATCGCTATTAAATAAATTTTGTGAATGATTATAGATATTCTCTACCCAGACTAATAAAAGGTTTATAAAACTATACACAAAAATAAAATAATTAATTAAATTGCAAAAAAAAAACTTTAAATAAATTAGACGATTTTAGTTTCCCCGAGAATATTTTAATAACTGTTTTAAAGATAAATCATGTTACAAAATATTGTAAAAGCTAATATATGTTTCTCGTTGTTAACATAAAATTTACTGAGATCTTAGCAATTATCTAATCTTTTCCAATTGTCTTGGAAACTTATAACCTTTCCTTCCTGTTTCTTAATAGTCCCGATTTCTCAAAAAATCTGCTATAACTTCGATATGAAACTTAAATTTAAAAATTACGTTTTAAGACGAAACAGGAGTACATTCTACAAGAATATTAAGATTTGTACCAGCGAATTCACGAATAAATGGTACATTTGAGACACAAGTTTGCGTGTACAGTGCTCAAATAAATAAATTAATAAAATAAAATACTAAATATGAATAATAAAATCAATAAAAAAGTAAACAAATAAATAAAAACAGGGGGGAATTAAACACCTGGACCAATTTTTGATCTAATTATCTGATTTTTACGCACTAGAACTCTCAATAATCCGAAGGGGTGAATTAAAAGATACTAATTAGATAGTACTGAGCAGACCATATTTTAAGTTACGAAATCATGTACAAAAGAGAATTTTCTTTAAATAAACACACCTTTTTTTTTTACAACGGATTATATAATTTCTTACTCCCAAAATAACCGTAATCTGGAATAATTTAGACAGGAGATAGTTTAGTCACAAGAGTGGTCAAAAGTACTTTTGCATATTTCGAGAAAGTTTTCTAAGCAAAATTTTTTGCACAAAATAATAATCTCCAGCCAGTCCTGGTCAGGACTCCAATTAGTTCATAATTCTTTCATGTTCATGCATGTCATTCCTAGTACACCTTAAGCTTATTTTCGCTTTCTAACAAACCAGATAAGATTGAAAAAACAAATATTCACATCATAGTTTTAAGTTCTGTATCTAAAATGAACAAAGGTGGAGTTGTTACATCGGGGAGATTTCCGTATCGTGATCTGCGGCGGAATAATCGCCAAGTCTCGGCACTTCCCGAGAGAAACTAAAAAAAAAAAACTCACAGAAAGGGACTAACTCGAAAGGTATAACTCGTAGCCACCCCCCTCCCCGGGCAAACATCTACATATCTTTTTTTTTTAAAAAAAATTGCAAGTTTAAAATCTATTTGGCACCTTGGCGATTGTAGTTGGCGCGACTGATCACGATACGGAAAAAATAGACTTTCATATAGAAACGCTCTTAAACGCTTAAAGACTGAAATACTTATAATGCCCAAAAGCAGTCAAAATGACTGCATTGTGAAAGAATAACTAATGCATAAAGAAATTTGTTTAAAATTAATTTTTGATATTTTTTATATCATTTACAGTTATATAACTAGCTATTAGTAAATATTAACAATTAAGAAAAAATTACATATTGTATAAAAAGTCACGAAATTCTAAGAAATTGTGTCATTACATACATCATTGTTTTTCTAATTGAAATTAAAAAGCAGTCAAAATGACTTCCTTGGGCCATCTAGTGTTAAGTATTAAAAATACAGAGGGATTAAAATTAAAGTTTCACTTTCAAAAAATTTAAAAAAAAAAAAAAAACTAGCCACTGTTCAGAATGATATGATATTTCATTTAAATGGAATTTGTATTGCTTGAAATAATAATTCAAAGATTAACCGATACATTGTTGTCGCCTTAAGATATTAATTAAATAACGTGACAGCGCATTCTACGCTACACTTGTGATAAAAAGGCGGCGAGCGTGCAATTTATGTTCTTCTGCATTTAAGAAGGTAATCATCATATCACGGATCATCGGACTTAGATTGTGCAACTATGTTACAAGAACGGTGACTGTGCATTAATNCCCCCCCGCTTCATCACTAGCATTGTGCAATGCAAAGTCACGCCTTATAGCTTGCGTCTTAAAATTAGAGTATCTTTTAAAGCAATCATCTGTTAGATTTAATGAGAAATGCATACAGCGCAATCTATCGGTTAACATTCGAACTAAATCTATCTTTAGTAAAACTAATTCCTATTGATTCGCGTACACTCAGATGAAATATCAGGTCATTCTGACCAGTGTTGATTAATTTTTATATGAATTTCAAGGAAAGAGGCATTAATTCCTGAAGATAATTTGGTCACATACAGTCCTTGGCCAAATTATTAGAGGCAATATAAGAGTCTACGTAAAATCTTAATTATCAGGTGATACCGGCCGAAACCGGTTTGCGCTTGTTTTCATTCATGTATCAATTGGTTAACATTGTAATGCAATACGTTAAAAATAAATACAAACAGGAAGTATATAAAACATCTCCTGAATAAAAATCTATTACATGTATGTTTTAATATAAAAGTATTGCTTATAAACTCGAAGCAAAACATGTAGTTATTAAAACACTACAGTGCGTCTAATATTTTGGTCTAATTATTATATACTAATATTATACCTCATGTAATAAATATTCTAAATTTTAATTATATATCGTCTAATTTATCAAATCGTTAAATTTATATTATATATCGTCTAATTTAACCATAAATGGTGGCAACTACTTTATAGCAAAGTGGTGTAGTTAAATACCATACATAACTCTTTGATCTAGATGTTACTTACTTCTTAAACAAAACAAAAATCCTTAAACTTTTTATCAGTTATTCGGCATTTGTGGTCGTACTATGCACTGCGTATCTATACTTGGCCAAATTATTAGCCGCACTATAAGATAAGATGTAAAATCTCAATTATCAGATAATATACGGCACAGGGTTGGCAAGATTTTGCCGCAGGTGGAAAAAACCATGGTAAATACCGGTAAAAACCGTCCTGGCAAAAACAGGTTTTTGCCAAGCAAATTGGCAAAAAGTGGCAAAAACCTATATTCTCCTAGATAAGAAGACAAAAACACATTTTTTGTACACAATTATTCCTAAAATTGAAATATATACTATGAATATAAATAATTACAGAAAAATTAACAAAATTATTATTAAATCATAATTAAATGATAATGTAATAATATATCATTTTAGTAGTTTAAAACATTATTGATTGGAAAATTTGTGATTATTCTCTTTTTTCCAGTGAAATGAACTTATTTTAAATTAATATAACTATAATTTAAAGCATAAAATATCTATCAACATGTGTAGTTAATTATTGTACAAATAATAATTTTTTTATAATAAATAATAATATTATACAAATAATAATATTTATTTGTAAAAAAGCATTTATTTTAGGATTCTAAAATGAAAAGAGATCAAAAAATTTCAATCTTTTAAAAATGATTACCCTTATATTAATTATTAATATGTTAAAAATAATTTTTTCATGTAATGTATCAAAATTATTATTCCTTATGATTGATTTAAATTTGTTTCAAGTATTTTATAATAATATTTAATCAGCAATTTAGATAATTTGGTTTTTGCCGGTTTTTACCGGTTTTTACCAGGTTTTTGCCACTGTCCTGGCAAAAACCCCTTTTTGTCGGCAAAAACTCCAACCCTGATACGGCATTATTGTTTTTTCGCAGCTGAAACCCGTTTACATTTGTTTATGTTCATGTATCAATTGGTTAACATTGTAATGCAATGGGTGAAAAATAAATACAAATAGAAAGTATTTAAATAATCTCCTGAATAAAAACCCATTACATGTATGTTTAAATATTAAAGTATTGCATATGAACTCGAGCAAAACATGTAATTATTAAAACACTACAGTACGCCTAATAATTTGGTCTAATTATTATAATATACTAATATAATACCTGATAATAAATATTCTATATTTAAATAATGTATCGTCCAATATATCCCATCATCGAATTTATATAATATATCGTCTAATTTAACCAATTGATACACGAATGAAAACAAGTACAAACCGGTTTCAGTCTCGTAAAAACAATAAAGCTGTATAGTATCACCTGATAATTAAGATTTTACATAGAATCTTATAGAATGTCTAATAATTTGGACAGGGACTGCAGTTGTTTGTAACTGAGTAATATTTCCCATCTTTTTTATTTCACAGGTCATTTCACACAGACTATATGGAATAAGTCGAGAGAATTAGGTGTAGGCAAAGCAGTAAGTAAGAACCATCGTGTGTATGTTGTGGCTAACTATTACCCTCCTGGAAACATATTGAACAGATTTGTAGACAATGTGCCAAAGAAGATTCATGCTAACTCAATATACAAACAATACACCAAGAGAATTTCCAGCAGATCAATGTATTACCATTGCGCATTTTGAAATAAACTCGTTTTTTTTTCTTTTCCAGCTTTTAACTGCCGTTCAATATAAAATGATTATGTGCTTTGCAGCTCTTGGTCTTATGAGCAAAAACGTATGTATGCAAGAACCAATTGTTAGCCAAAGAGTTTGAGGTCTCACTATTTCAAGATACATGATGGTGATACTGAAGAAGCCACCGCCGGGAATGATATTCCGCGAACGCAAGCTCATTGTCTTGACCAAGGTGCTATTGGCTGATCTCATTGTTTGAATACAACAAACAATGAGTCAAAATTGCGATAAAATTATTCTCTTAGTTTTGAATTTTCGGATAAGATTGATTCAAATAATCAATCTGAGATAATCTAAACTATATATGAGATCTAAATTTTGTTCGGATAAGCGGGATTGTATTACTTGTCAGAAATACCGCAACGATACAATAGATTGTTAGCTGGTGAACATGGTGATTGGTAAAGAGAGCTTAAATTACATACATTGCTATCGTTTTGTAATGACAGATTTTAATACATATATGATTATATTGTTTCGTAATGACAGCTTCTAATTCATCCATTGCTATTGTTTCGTAATGACTGCTTCTATTTCACACATTGCTATTGTTTCGTAATGACTGCTTCTAATTCACCCATTGCTATTGTCTCCTAATGACAGCTTTTAATACAACCATTGCTATTGTTTCGCAATGACAGCTTTTAATACATAATATTGCCAAGGTCGGTCAACAAATCCTAAGAGAGAGATGGCCTCAGCACGGATCAATTTAGTAGTCCGACGTAACGAACGTAAACTGCGTAGTAGAGGAAAAACTACTACGTTCGGGGGCTACTAAGCTGCGCAGTGGCGGAAATTACGAAAGATGTCATTACATTCATTCTACTAAAGGATCAAATTTCTTGTTTATGGTAACCCGTGCTGAGGCCTTCTCTCTTCTAGAAGGTATTGGACAGGTCAGTGCAGTAATACTTCCGGGCTACTACTTCCGAATGATTTTTACACCTTAAGTTAGATTGTTGTTGTTGTTAATTTACATCGCACTAGAGCTGCACAATGGGCTAACCTTAAGTCAGAAAGAATGCCCCATCCAATATTATTATACTTGAATTTTTTCTGAACAATTAAGCATGCAGATCCCAAGAAAGAAAACAACATACCTAGGTGGAGGCTGAAACTGGACTAATATTTTATTTACAGATAAGAGATTATATTTATGACAGCACTACTGCCATCTATGTTCAAACATGTAGAACTAATATATTTAACATTTTCAATCTAAAGCGTTCTTTCAATTTAACAGTCAACGAAACAAAGAACAAATGAATTCGGAAGACTCAGCAAACTTGCTATGATACTACTCAAAAAATAACTAACGGTGTTATTTTACGCAGATATACCCAAATCAGGGCCCCCCACCAAAAGGGGGGGGAGGTGGGCGCACGATGCTCCCACTTACAGCTTTGGGGGGGGGAATTTTTACACTAAATAAAACGAATAGTTTTGGGGGGGGATGGGGGCTACTGACCCAAATAAGGGATGACATTCAGAACATGACAAACCTTACACTTTATTTATGTGGCGATGCTAATTTTTTAAAATTTGTTTTTGGCTCTCGACCTGTTAGAATTTATAAATTACAGGAAACTCTTATGAATAGTAAAATTACGCGTTAATTTAAATCACAATAATTAAACTTCTCAGAATATTAAGCCTGTTCACACATCGCCTCATAAGCGGAGGGATACACCGGGAATTTTCTAAATCTCCATTGGTAATCACGCACTTTTGTGAATAAAAGGTAGCAGAGATGAATATTGCTTACCTTTGTCTCGTGCATGTTCACTTGTGTTGTCTTCACTTTATATGTGTTGTCTTCACAGGAATACCTTTCAATGAATTGAGGCATTATTAATTCAGTAAAAAATTCGGATTGCTTTTTCGAATACGAGTTAGTTATTAAATAAACATAATTAGTAAATATAAGTGGGTGCTTCTACTAAGATGGAGGATAGATTCGTAGTGAAGTGAAACTTGTTAAAAATTATACATTAAACAGCGCCATCCAGTGACTAAAATAACAGTGAATCATTGAACTGGAAGATTGATGAAATATTTATTTTAGAACAATTTCTTCCGGTTTTAAGAAATTCCGGTTATTGTTTACATTCAGTCAACCATCTATTTACTTAAATTTTTTCAATGTTTTTAAAAATATGTAATAAAAGGGAAGTCATTTCAAAAATTTTTGTTCATCAAGAACTTTAAAATAAAATTAGCAACCATTTTAAAGAATAAGTTTATTAAATTTCACAAAACAATCCAATAGAAAAATAAGATACAGATTCAATATTACAAAAGGATGAAAGACAATTTACGATCTTGATTACTAAAACAAAGTTGCATGCTAAACTAAGACACAAATGTTCCAAGCAAATAAAATGCGTAAAAAGGTTAAATGACTTAGAATGAGATCATTAAAAACAAGAGTTAAAATTTTTCAAAAATATACATAACAGAATCGGGTACAAAAATCACCATTCATAAGAATCATACATTAAAAGAAAGATATATACAATCTTCAGAATCGTCAATACGAAAATATTATGTATTCATTACGATTTCTATAATTTTAAATTCACAAAATATTGCCTCTTAATAATTCGCTTTCATTCGTAGTAATGTATGAAAGTTTTTTTTTTTAAACTAATTTCGTAGTTCTGTTTGAATATCAAACAGGGTATTTAAGTCATGTGCACAGCACATAACTAGAAATTAATGATTCATAATCTAATACTAATAAATAACATTTAATTTAGTAAAAGCTACTTAGGATAAAAACGACTCCACTAACTCCATAAACTCAAAATATAAATTGCACAGTTCAAATCTAGACGTTTTCGTTCAAAACTACCTCATGAAGCTTTTTTTTTTTAACAAATGTTTCAATTCCTTTTATAATTATTAAAAAGTTATTATTTTCAAGTAATGTGAGTAGTTTTTAATCTCTTCCAAATATTCAGTAAAAAAATAGCTTCATGATTTGATTATGATTATTTTCTTTCAAAAAATTGTATTGTATTAAACTTTTTTGTATTTTTTTGAGTGAATTCTTTTAAATTTCAAGTATTGGTAATTCTAACCTAACATTAAATCCTAGAGAAAACGATTTAAATATATATACAGTGGATTCTTTTTAATAAAGAAATACTAGAAATTTTAAATTAACTTTAAATCTTATAGAAAACAAATAAATTATAAATATCTGGATTCAGTTTATATTTGAAGAATTGGAAATTCAAAACTAACAGTAAATCCTAAAGAAAAAAAAATTAAAGAAAAAAAAATAACGTGGATTCTTTTATTTAAAAGAATTGAAAATTCAACGCTAACAGTAAATTTTTAAGATGATAAATTAAATATAATTAGAGTGGATTATTTTTAATTTAAAACATTGGAAATATCAAACTAACATTTAAACTTAACATTCAATTTAAAACTTCATTTTCAATTTGATTATTTTATTTTTCGAAATTTAAAGGTGAAGAAACTGAAATGTTTTCCAAACTTCAAAAGTGAAAGTTTTACAATATACGACTAGTTCAGATTAGGCTTAGTCACATATATTTTCAACATTGAACATGTGTAAAAGCTAAAATAAAGCACTTAAATTAAAATGAGTTANAAAAAAATTAAAGAAAAAAAAATAACGTGGATTCTTTTATTTAAAGGAATTGAAAATTCAACGCTAACAGTAAATTTTTAAGATGAAAAATTAAATATAATTAGAGTGGATTATCTTTAATTTAAAACATTGGAAATATCAAACTAACATTAAAACTTAACATTCAATTTAAAACTTCATTTTCAATTTGATTATTTTATTTTTCGAAATTTAAAGGTGAAGAAATTGAAATGTTTTCCAAACTTCAAAAGTGAAAGTTTTACAATATAAAACTAGTTCAGATTAGGCTTAGTCACATATATTTTTAACATTGAAAATATGTAAAAGCTAAAATAAAGCATTTAAATTAAATTGAGTTACTGATAATTTGTGCATAACATAATTTATATCATAAATTGTGATTAAAACTTTTTTCTCTTGCATGAAAAAGAGATTTAAATTAAATAATTAAAAATAAATTCAGTGGTGCGATAGCCCAAAGTGGGTCCAAGGCCCACGATGCCCATCACAGTTTTTTTTACCTTTGGCAACTAAGGTGCAGGAGCAGATGTTTCGTTTGAGTGGTCAACTAAATATGGAACTCCCAGTGTTTAGTTCCCAAGCATGTATGGTACTCATTTTATGGAACCACTAAAGTGATGAAAGACTGAAACAACCATGCCTGGTCAACCACGCCTGTGGTCACTCAGCCACCAGGTGTCAAATTAAATGATTAAATGCAAGTTTAAATTGAGTAAAAAATTAAAACAAAAAATTACATCTCAAATAAAAAAAAAAAAATTTCACTAAAATAATTTATAAAAATGAATAAATTAACTTTTAATGAAAATTATTTAGTACAGTTCTGTTTCAGTATTTAAATTTTGTTTCTTAATAATGCTAATTTTAATTTTAAATAACTTTGTTTCACTTTAAATTAGAATTAAAAAGAGTACAATGTATATTTAAAAACACTTTTAAAGAGGTATAAAAAATTTTTGTTTCTAAAAATGTAAAATTCAACTTCGAAATTTGTGATAAAAACAAATGCCATTTGTTTTTATCCTATCATAATACCATTTGCATACCGAATTCAAAATAAAAATTTCAAACAAATTAAATAGCTTTTAAATTTTGAATACTATATGAATAATTGGAAGCATATAAAATTAGTTTGGGACATATTTGTTACAAATTTCTTAAAAACATTTATAAATATTATTGTTTAATTGATCACATAATCAAGATTTACATCTAAATTTAAGTGTTCTTTTTTTCTCTCTCTCCTTTTTTTTGAAAAACTTATGCAAATGTAATGAGCTGGCTTTGAAACCAAACGTCTCAAAAGAAATCAACTATAATCCATTAATTTATAGCTCTCATAAAAAAAAAAAGCAACAAAAATTCAGATAGGAAGATTAGTATTCATTTTAAGGGTTTCAAAACATAGTTGTGGAATCAGAGATATTGGCTGGACTCCAACATGCTTAAAGTTAGGTCTGAAAACTAAAAGATCTCTAATCTAAAAGTCTTTGATCTTTTAAAAATTATGTAGGCAAATATTTTTATGATGCGAATAAATATAATTACTATTCTTTAAACTACAACTTATCACATTAGAAATTTTTGGGAATATGATTGATCAAATTATTTATTGAAAATTGTTAAATACCTAGTTATTACAGAAAATCGCAAAAAATATGAAAACGTGGAATTTTGATAAAGGGCAAAGTTTGGTAATTAAACAGAGTGCGCAGTCAAGTTTTTCAACAAAAAATAAGTACCCTTTGAGCACTCAAAAAATATGTTTAATCAATTTCCAAAAAAAAAAAANAAAAAAAAAAAAAAAAAAAAAAAAAAAAAAAAAAAAACAATCATAATTAGGATTTGTGCAGTAATAAAAATTATTTTTTTCCCTACCGTTTAAAGTTCTTAATTTATAAACATAAAATAAATATAAAATTCAAAACCATTTTCAAAAACGTTACATAATCATGATAAAATAACTTGTTTTTGATAAATATTGCAGAGAAATTAAGTTTTTTTTCTTCGTAATTTAGAACAACAATCGACACAGCAAAGAAAAATATCTCTTTTTAAAAGACAGAAAATTAAGCACTTTATACAAACCACGAATAAAAAAAAGCACCTTTGAGGGCGTTTAAAAAACGCAAATCAACAATCAGCACCTTAAAGCACTTTTTAAAAACGTTATGCACCCTTTAAAAGTAAATGGAAATTAATCTTACATTTTGTAGAAATACGTTTCTTAAAACTAATTTCCCAGATTTTATAATACAATATATAATTTTAAATAAAATAGCTTTAATTCTTATAGAACATAAAAAATAGAAATAGATAATACTGAATTTATCTTTTACAAAGTAATAATATCAATACTATCCTAGAATTGGTAATTGTCGGAGTCAAATATTTCAACTACCTATTTCACAGCTCTGCTTATGCAAAAAAGCAAAAAAGGAGGTAAAAACTTCACAAACTAAGTACATAAATGCAAAAGGATGTAAATTTGTATTATCTTTTATTTTAAGTCTCCAAATTCTAAGCTGCTATATTTGTACTGAATGTTTTCATCAAGATAAACACACAATATTTATCCAAACTCAACTAAACCTAGAGGATATCAATAACAAATACCATAATTAAATACACTTATAAAATATTACTACATTATGTCTAAAAATCGTGAAAAATAATGATATTAGGTAAATAATATTTTATGAAAACGAAACTATATATGAATAAGAAATAAGACTAGACTGTGACAAATGTAAATTTTAAAATATTTAAAAATAATATTTGGAAGTGCAATAAAAAAAAAGTTGATAGGTTTAGCTTAAGAACAATTTTAATTTTTAAGTAAGAAATCAGTCACATTACCTTGAATTAGAAGATTCTTTAATTTATAAATGCGTTTCCTCTAAATCTTATTGATATGAACAATTATTAAGTTAAAAAAAAAGCTGCATAGCAAGAAGTACATAAAATTTTCATGCACACACATATAAAATATTTCTTAATTAATCCTCATGAATAAACCACGTTTTTTTTTAACACTTAAAACCATTTTGAACACGGTTGTTAATTTAGTTATCCAACGAAGTTCATCTCCTAAAATATAGTGAAGTAGTGACTGCATTTTGAAAGTAGTTTGTTGTCATTACTTTTAAAAAAAAAGCAGTTGCAGGTAACTAATTTGTCATAAAGTAGCGATAATTGTAGTTAACTACAAAAAAATGTAGTTTTTGCGACCACTGGCTTTTGCCAACCCTGCATATTTCAGCTGCAGACTGGAATTAAAAGTATAAGTTACCCCATGCCACAAAAAAAAAACAAAAAAAAACGGAGATTTCAAAAGAAAGAAAAGGCCTAAATTGTTATTTATTTTGCATA